AAAAAAACCCTTTATCATACGCTCACTAGTGACTGACTCCATAAGGTATTTCCTGGAGTTCTAGTGAGAAGCAGTAACTAGTGGAGTTCAACCAGGTCTGTTGTAAGATATCAACTCACTGAAGACAATTGGTGAAATGGTTGCTCAACTTCGTGGATTATTTAAAGTTAGACATTAACATCGTTGAATGTCGACAGGCTCAGTGGTCTATCGGTCAGGTGCTCCGGCGCGAAACTGGTAGGTCCTGGGTTCGAATCTCGCGAGGCGGGATCGTGGATAAGCACTGCTGAAGAATCCCACAATAGAACGAAACGGCCGTCCAGCGCTTCAACGTTTTTCCATGGTGGTCTAGCTTCAATTGAATCATGATTTCAACTATATATATAACTATAAGATTATTAATATAGGCAATTATTATGTAAATATCTTTTTTAATGAATGAAATATTTTGTCAATTTATATAATGAAGATAGTTGAATTTTGATAGAAAACTATTAATACTGGAATCTTGTTCACGTTAGAGTTAAGTAATTATTGATAAATCTCATCTGTTGTAGAGTTCAACTGTTCAACGTTGAATAAAATCAATTATTATGAAACCGGATATAGTGTCCGTTGCTATGTTAAGTCCACATGACTTATTCTAGCTTCCAGATAGGCTAAGTAATCCACGTTTTGACATTGTTATTTATTCACTTATCAACGTTGACTGTTTTCATATGAGCGTATGTGTATGAACTTCCTATCCTATTCATTACATATCTGTAGCTTATTTTTGTGTGACTAAAAATATTGATTTACGCTTGATTAAATCGACTTGTCTAATTCACCTTCTCCCATTGAGCGTCATTTTGTTTTGCTTCTCTTTTTCGATCAACTATTGAACGAAATATACGTATTCAAAAATGCATTCACTAACGCGAGTTAAGTCGATAATTATATATACGAGGATTAACGATATGTCTATTTCAATAACAATCATTCATCCAATCTAACTGGTGTCAGATATACCGGGCCACTAAATGGACAACGTAAATTTTTTTGTACGAGTCAGTTCATTTTGTAATTAGATAAAACAGCTCAATCGTTTAAAATATTAAATATTTCCATTGTGTAAACTAGACCAGTACACATAAATAAACAATATTATTTACAATTAGGTATAAATTCAACTTTTCTCTAGTACATATTTATATGCATATATGAAAAATATGAAATCAATTAAGGCAGTCTAGTACTTCCAGGTTTTCCATGGTGGTCTAGCTTCAATTGACCCATTATTTCAAGTACTAAAATTACTAGAATATCCACCAAAACCACTTCTGATAATAATCTACATATGCTCAATAGTGACTGGCCCATGAGGTATTTCCTAGAGTTCTAGTGAGAAACAGTGAGCAGTGTAGTTCAACCATGTCTGTTGTGAGTTAGTAACTCACTGAAGACATTGATGGATGTGTCGCTCGATGAAGTTAGATAATAACACCGTTGGATACCGGCTCAGTGGTTCTAGAAATTAAGCGCTCCCGCGCGAAACTGGAGAAAAGTCCACCAACCTGATTGAAGCGCTAGACATTCGCTTTTCGTTCTCACACTTTCGTAACCAACATCCTCACCTAGAGAAGGCAATGAGTAGGACTTCCCTGTCAGAGACTGTATACGCGTGGCCATGTGAAAGCATTTCAAGTGGAAGAGAGCCCTCTTTTCACCCTCAGCCGTACCAGGGCGTTCGGGGACCAATATTTTTAAATATGTACCTAAGATGTAAAATATTCAACTATCAGACAATGAATACAATCTATCAATAGACTAATCCTAAAATTATTTTATTCAGTTAATCAAAATAACAACTTAACTAATAGACAGGAAATGAATGAACACAATTGTACTTTCTGCCAAAAATAAAAACACTTAAAAACATAGAAGTTTTGTTCCACTTCACACTATAAACAATGAGCTAGTGATTTTTTTAAATGTCATTATAAAACATAATATTGAAAAACCTTTATACTTAAACTTAGTCTAAATGATAAAACTGATTAGTTGTGAACATACAGTTGAACAAATCTAGTGATTGAATTGCAACGCATAGTAAAACATGAAAGTAAACAGCTGATGATAATCACAAGAATGTTATAACATGGCTAACTTAATGGTTAATACTTCTTTACAAAAACAGTTCAATTTATTCGTTCATATTATCAAATGTCTTTCTAATGTAAGTACTTTAACAAGCATAATTGATAAGTATAGTTGAAGGTGAGTTGAATTGGGGTATTTATTGATTTACTTTTACAATAAATATGTAATATCATTAGTTATGATCTGAAATCGATCTCAGTGTTGTGTATATATTTTATCGTTTGATCTAGTGAGAAGCAATGACCAGTGGAGTTCAACCACGTCTGTTGTGAGATAACAACTCACTGAAGACAATGGTGGATGTGTCGTTTAATTTCGTGGATTGGTTGAAGTTAGACATTCACATCGTTGGATGCCAGGTCAGTGGTCTAATGGTTAAGCACTCGCGCGCGAGACTGGTAAATCCTGAGTTCGAATCTCGTGAGGCGGGGTTATGGATGCGCACTGCTGAGGAGTCCCATATTGAAACGAAACGGTCGTCCAGTGCTTCCAGGTTTTCCATAGTGGTCTAGCTTCAATTAACTCATGATTTCAACTATAAAATTACTAAAATCTCCACAAAACCCCTTCCTAGATCAATTCATTGGAATTTTTTTTTCAACCGTGAATACATTGTCTAATCAATATATATATATATATATATATATATATATATATATATATATATATATAGCTTTTATTAGCCCTAACAACTATCTACAGAATTATCCATGTTAATAAAAAAGTAATCCCATAAAATAACTTATTGATTGTCTAGTTTATTTATAGAGAAAAGAATGTTAACTTTACTATAGTTTATATAATTTTTTTTTCTCAAAAACATATTAGTTTTCTCTAAAGATACCGATCATAAAGTTTGTTTTTGTTATTTGTAATTTCATTCAATGAAACTAATAATATTTCTCATTGTTTAGTATTGGCGCTAAATCGAAAAAATCTGCATCCAACGATACGAACCGTATTGAAGAGTTTATATACTTTGTAATTTATACGATTTTTTTTTCAATATCAATCATCTTCACTGTAATCAAGTCTCACAGAAACACAGAGTGTTTATAGAGGAAATCACTGAAAATAAGAGTCATTTTCTGTTGTTAGTTTTTTATAAATCAAGTGAACGACTGACTATTACATTTAGTCATTGATGAAATACAAGTCCAGGATTCTACTATCAGACATAATCTAAGACTATTATAAAATTTATAATTTAGTGAAATTTTGAAACGATATTTCAAAGAGCCTATAAGGTGATCAATGCTAAAATTAACTGATTATTGTGTAAAAACAATAGAAAAGCACAAACATCTATAAATAGTGAATACTATATTCAATGATCATATTTATGCTTATCTCAACTCATTATCTTTCAATGTAGTGTGCTGGCATTTGAAATATTGGATTTTGGTTTTTATTCTTGGTACGAATATCAAAATTTGAAAACAGATATCTATCTAGCTGATGAGTTCCGGGTAGACTCCACTACTCGTTAAAATTCAAAATATACAATATACTCTATCATTCAGATAACCTAAATAAATTTCGATTGCTACCATATATACACATAGATATATATATTTATATATAAAATGCCATTCATTTGCCTTTTGTATTAGTTTAATATTTATCAGAATTTACATTATTCTTTCCCATGCAAATAGAAATGTCTATATAAATAATATTATAGATATTAAAGAGTAAACAGTATAACCCTAACCTAGAAAATTCTAACTGAATATAACATTATTTATGATTAATTATTGTCAATTTCTTTAGTTCGGTTTATCCTTATTCTATATAGGCTTTCACACACATACACACACACGCACACACACAAACATACACAGACTGATGTTGTCTATATTACCAAATACACATTATAACAGTATTTCCATTTTCTTTTTTTTGACAAACATTCAGAGTACACCATTTTCACAATGACATATAAGTGCAAACTTTGACACACACACACACACAAGATCATAACTATCCCTATACACATGAACACACACATATTATATACATACATACATACATACATACTAAATATAAAGTACAAAATTTTCCCTAAAATAACTTATTTATTTTCCGATCTGTTTTGATATTTTGACAACTTTTATGTTTGTTATAAGAAAGTAAGTGAAAACCAAGAAAAACCGACAAAAAAAAGAAAAGAAAAAATAAAATCTAATGAACTTAACCTTTTCTTTTGTTTTTATTTATATTTTTCCAAAAAAATGAAAAAAAATTTTGTTGTTTTTTTGTAACCTTTTCCATTGAATTTATCAAATGTTCATTTTAACACATTTACATCATCTACATCAGAAAGGGGAATTTGTGGAGATTTAGTATTTTTCATAGTTGAAAGCTTCAATTGACTCATGTTGTAATGCCGTGCTTCAATAATAGTTCACTTTGATAACCGTTATTATGCCAATCTTAACGGTTTATAAAATCAGAAGGCAAAAGGAAATGGCAACTACATTTTTATTGATGAATGATGCAGACCAGAAAGTTGTAAGCACATGAGCAAATGTAAGCGAGCGAAGCAAAGATGATGCATAGTCGAGATGGCTGGGAAGCCAACTCAGTATGAGTAAGCATTACACAATATTTATAATCAGACAAAAATGAATAACAGACATATGTTGAATAAGATACGAAGGGTACACGTATATGCTAATATAAAAACATAGTCAAGGTTAATAAGCGAATAATTAACAAGATCAAAATATGACTCATAATGTATAGGTGAATTGTCTAGGCCAGTAACTAGAATGAAGTATATTGGGCTTAACATAACAACCGATACTACAATGCTTTCAACTATGAACATCTATATTTTATTGAGGATAAGTTTGATGTCTTTAAAACATCTTATCAAGTGTGAGAACAATACTACTACTACTACTACTACTACTACTACTACTACTACTACTACTACTACTACTACTACTACTACTACTACTACTACTACTACTACTACTACTACTACTACTACTACTACTACTACTACTACTACTACTACTACTACTACTACTACTACTACTACTACTACTACTACTACTACTACTACTACTACTACTACTACTACTACTACTACTACTACTACTACTACTACTACTACTACTACTACTACTACTACTACTACTACTACTACTACTACTACTACTACTACTACTACTACTACTACTACTACTACTACTACTACTACTACTACTACTACTACTACTACTACTACTACTACTACTACTACTACTACTACTACTACTACTACTACTACTACTACTACTACTACTACTACTACTACTACTACTACTACTACTACTACTACTACTACTACTACTACTACTACTACTACTACTACTACTACTACTACTTCTACTACTACTACTACTACTACTACTACTACTACTACTACTACTACTACTACTACTACTACTACTACTACTACTACTACTACTACTACTACTACTACTACTACTACTACTACTACTACTACTACTACTACTACTACTACTACTACTACTACTACTACTACTACTACTACTACTACTACTACTACTACTACTACTACTACTACTACTACTACTACTACTACTACTACTACTACTACTACTACTACTACTACTACTACTACTACTACTACTACTACTACTACTACTACTACTACTACTACTACTACTACTACTACTACTACTACTACTACTACTACTACTACTACTACTACTACTACTACTACTACTACTACTACTACTACTACTACTACTACTACTACTACTACTACTACTACTACTACTACTACTACTACTACTACTACTACTACTACTACTACTACTACTACTACTACTACTACTACTACTACTACTACTACTACTACTACTACTACTACTACTACTACTACTACTACTACTACTACTACTACTACTACTACTACTACTACTACTACTACTACTACTACTACTACTACTACTACTAATAATAATAATAATAATAATAATAATAATAATAATAAGGATAGATAAATAGTAGACAGATAGAATAGTAGAGTACATTTGTTTTAATTTTATAAATTATAATTTATATCTAATTTTTAAAATTATTTTTTTAATTTTTTTTTCAGTTTAATTAACCTTTTGGCATAAATAATTTTTTTTTCAAAATGTTAAAAAATAATAAAAAAAATCTTGTTTTTTTTTATTTTCAAAAAAGAAAAAAAGTAAAAAAGAAGAAAAGATACAAACAAACAAACAAACAAAATATCGTTTGTCATGTCAATAATTCATCATTTAATAAATTCTAAAACAGATAATGAACATTTATTCTTTCTCTTTGTCTTCTTTTTATTCCTTGAATAGAAAACACTAGTTGTAATAACAATCTTCTGTCTACTATTTATATTAATATTAATGTATCAAGAGTAAAGAAAAGTTTGAAAGTCATTTTGAAGTTGATACTCAAGACTGAATATTCTATTAGGATTCTGTTAAAATAGGTTGTTCTGTTATTACTTATTTGAAAAAGATGAATTGTTGAATAGCTGCGGAATCAGGCACATATGATTTATATTCATAGTTGAAATCATGAGTCAATTGTAACTAGACCATCATGAAAAACCTGGAAGCACTGGACGGCCGTTTCGTAATATTATGGGACTCCTCAGCAGTGCGCATCCAAGGTCCTGCACCCGCGAAATTTGAACCAAGGACCTACCAGCTTTGCGTTATAGCACTTAACCGATGGACCACTGAGCCGGCATCCAACAGTGTTATTATCTAACTTCAACTGATCCACGAAGTTGAGCAACCGTTCACCAATTGTCTTCAGTGAGTTGATATCTCTACAACAGACTTGGTTTTCCAGTTTTTCCATGGTGGTCTAGCTTCAAATGACTCATGATTTCAACCATGAAATTATTGAAATATCCACAAAAACCCCTTCTGATATATGATTTATCTTATTTCAGACTAGTCGGCTGGATGCATATGCATCCTAGTATTTAATAAAAGTTTACAATCGGATGATTCATGTTTCTGATGATAATGATCGAAACATTATACCCACCAAATAAGTTAGTGATCAATTAAAAAACTCTTTAGGTGTTTTAATTCATATACCTAGGTTATTTGGGTCTTCCTATTGATGTTTAAGGCGGCAAATGATCAGCATATTTAAATCCTATGCGAACTGTCTCAATAATCCAGTTAAGTCACTCGAACACTTTAAGCGGAGATGAGTGATAGTATGCTAGCGACAATCCATCTCTGTATACAATGCTTGTAACTTGATGACAGAACCGAGGCAATTCATACAGGATACAAACAAGCCAGAACGAGAATTATCAATTGCAGTCCAAAGCATCAATAAAAAGGTCCAAACAAGCAAATTATGGATTGACATTCATCTCACTGAACAAGCTAGTAGCTATCTTCATTCAGTACCCAACTGGATAAAACAATGTGGTTTGGGGTGAACGGTACTGGGTTCAAATTCCAGGGTTAACATCACCATAACAACTATATGATACAATGAAGAAACTGGCAGGGAGATATAACAAACCGGAGAGACCAGTCCAGGAAAGACAATCACGAAGGTTGAAGAAGAGAGGAAAACATGGGCAGAATACTTTGAGTAAACTGCTGAATAGACCAGCTCCATTGAATCAGCACATACAGACCTTCCTATAGATCGAAGAAGTCAAGATGGTCATCAGGCGAATCAAGAGTGGGGAGGCATAAGCAGGTGACAATATACCAGCTGAAGTACTGAAGTCAGGCATTGAAGCAAATGCAAAAATGCTTCACATTTTATTCAAGAAGACTCAGGAGGAAAAACAAGTGCTGACGTACTAGGAAGAAGAACACCTCATCAAGATACAAAAGATAGGAGATCTGAGCCAATGTGAGAACTACAGAGGCATCAGTTTGTTATCAGTACCAGGAAAGGTTTTCACTAGAGTGTTGATGAACCGCATGAAAGACACAGTAAACGCCCAACTTCGAGATCAACAGGCTGGATTCCGCAAATATTGGTTGAGCACAGACCAAATTACAACACAACGCATCATCGTGGAACAATCAGTTGAATGGAACTCGTCACTATACATCAACTTCATTGACTATGAGAACGCGTTTGACAGTGTGGATAGGAGAACATTATGAAGAATTCTTTGACACCATGGATTTCTTCAGAGGATTGTCAACATTATCTAGAAACCATACGACGGACTACAGTGCAAAGTGGTGCATGGAGGACAGCTGACAGTTGCGTTTCCAGTAGGGACCGCAGTCAGACAAGGCTGTCTACTCTCCCCATTCCTCTTCCTGCTGGTGATTGACTGGATTATGAAGACCTCGATACCTGACGGAAAGCATGGAATACAATGGACATCTCAGAACCAATTAGACCATTTGGACTTTGCAGATGACCTAGCCCTCCTATCTTATACACACCAACAAATACAGACGAAGACAACAAATTTAGCAGCAGCCTCTGTGTCAATAGGCCTCAACATAAACAAAGGAAAGAGCAAGATTCTCAAATACAACACAGAGAACACTAACCCAATCACACTTGGTGGTGAAACTCTGGAAGAAGTGGAAACATTCAAGTACCTGGGGATGTAAAGGCGAGGATTGGCAAAGCAAGGGCAGCATTTTTACAATTGAAGAACATATGGAACTCAAAACAACTGTCAACTAATTTCAAGGTCAGAATCTTTAATACGAACATCAAGACAGTCCTACTGTACGGAACTGAAACGTGGAGAACTATTTCATACATCATCAAGAAGGTGCAAGTATTTATAAACAGCTGTTTACGCAAAATACTCAACATTCACTGACCGGATATCATCAGCAAAAGCCTACCATGGGAGAGGACAAACCAGCTTTCAGCTGTAGATGAAATTAGCAAAAGACATTGTAAGTGGATTGGACATACATTTATGCAATCACCAAACTGCATCACGAGGAAATCCCTAATTTAGAATGGTGAAGGGAAGTGGAAAAGTGGAAGGCCATAGAACACATTACGCCGAGAAATAGAAGTAGATATGAAAAGGACGAACAAAAAATGGAAAGAATTGGAAAGTATTGCCCAGGATAGAGTTGGATGTAGAATGCTGTTGGGCGGCCTATGCTCCTACTAGAGGGATAACAGGCGTAAGTAAGTAAGTAGGTAATTGGATCCATTAATATATGTCTGGTGAAAATGGCATAAAACAGAGGAAATAGTGATCTGTTACTCAGATGACTTGGAATCATTTATCCAAACTCAATGATTATTTTATATGCTGCTCAAATATGTTTATTGCGTACTGAGTTTTCATAGTTCGAACCACCAATTTATCTTAACTAAATCACTATGTAAACATTGAAATACTGGGTGCTGATTTGTGCCCGAAAGGGTCTCCTCAGCATCGCAACTCCAAAATCTAGTACGCGGGAATCAAACCTAGGAACTTTGATCTCACAGGTAAACACTTTACCTCTAAATCAATGAACCCAAAATTACCTTACAAAATCTTTCCATACATATGTGCTAAAAATACAAAACTATGTTTACTAACCATTTCACAGAAATGTAACATAAACCCTATTTGTAGATAAAGGCTATAAAATTGTACTACTCCTTCTGATAATAATCAACATACGCTCACTAGTGATTGGCTCCATGAGGTATTTCCTCAAGTTCTAATGAAAAGCAGTGACCAGTAGAGTTCAACCAGGTCTGTTGTGATTTAGTAACTCACTGAACACAATGATGGATATGTCGCTCATTTTTGTGGATCTGTTGAAGTTAGATAATAACACTGTTGGACTCCGGCTCATTGTTTATAGAGGTTAAGCGCCCACGCGCGAGGTCCTGGGTTCGAATCCTGTGTGTGGCGTGATCGTGGATGCTCACTGTTGAAGAGTCCCACAATAGGACGAGTTGGCCGTCCAGTGATTCCAGGTTTTCCATGATGGTCTAGCTTCAATTGATTCATGATCTCAGCTATTAAAATTACTACTTCAATTTATTTAATATGAAATTTGCTGGCTTATTTATAATAAAAAATTGTTTTCTTATTTATTATAAAACAATAAAGTCAATAATTCAGCTTATGATTTACAATACTTGAGACGATAAATAATGATAATAAATCAGTTTATAAGTGAAAAAGATGGACTAATTTCTTATGAGTAGTATCTATGATCAGTAGTGTTTTACATATCTATACATTTATTACCATAATTATTTTCAATGTTAAATAATAACCCTTACTGAAAAATAATGAATTCATTATAATAGAGACATGATATAATGGATGGTTATTTTATTCCAGTCTATAGACTGGAATAAAAGGTTCTCACAATGTGAGAATCAAGAAAAATTGAGAAGATTCAAACGAAAAATTTTTTGTTTTGATTTGTGGATGATTTACAGAAAAATAATTATTTCATAGTATCTTATTTGTATTCATTGTTTGAATCTTTCCATTGATATATGTGCATTATTAAGGTAACCTACATAGTCAGTCAGTCAGTCACTTCGTACGTACGTACATCAGTTCGAGTTGCCATACCACATTAACACAGAGATGTAGTTGTCGATTCAAATTCCATAGTGGTAGAAGTAGTAACCTACATAAGATGCAAGTATATCAATAAGAGATTGATTAATTACAGTCTTAAATATCAATGAGAAGATTCAACTAACCAATACAAAAACGAATCAAAACGTTACTATATTTGACAAGCTAGTTGCTATCTGGACTCAGTAGTTAAGTAGAAAATGTGATGTCATATGAAGTGAACATTACTGGGTTTGAGTTCCGGACTGAACATTAATTCTGGGATGCAGACGCACCCAGATAACGAGTCTCAAATAAGACAAAACGTGCGACCTAGATTCTACTGATGGCCGTAATCCATCTCTGCTTATATTGCTTGTGATAATAATGTTGTATATTTGTTATAAAACAATTATTGTATTATACTTTTAGTTCTACCACAAAAATAGTACAAGAGATTATGAAAAA